TTTTTCTTCAGTTTGATATGACATAGCTCTCTCTATATAAATCTTCCAACCAGTTGTGGAAATATAACTGTTGTATGATTAAGCATGTAACCCCTCTCCCAGCCCACAACCATCTCGCTGATGAATCTGTGATATGAAACCAAATCAGGAAGATTTCCAGCAGAATTCGGAAAAAAAAAGTCAGACTTTCTACTTTGTTGATTTAATCAACACAGCAAGCTCTTGTGAGGGATTTGAATATAATAAAGATAAAAATAAAAACATGATGGCTACTACAGAAGATTATTGTTTTCAAAAGACACATATAAAGAAAATAACTTCAAAATTGATTATAATTCTTGTCTTGCCACTATAACAAGCTGACTTCTTTGCTTGGTTACCTTCTATTCACCCTCCTTCCCTGACCCTAGTCTGGTGTAAGGGCAGGATATATGCTCACATAGCATGTGATCAGGTCACTTGTGGAATGATAATGGCCTAGTTATGTTTCCTCTTCTAGACCATAAGCTCCTTGAGGAGAGGCCCCATGTGTTGTCACCATTTGCACCCTAGTCCTCGATAGTACCTCAGGCCCTGATATCATACTGGCCTGTTTTAAACATCAGCTGTGCATTTTATTTCCTGTATAAGTTTCTTACCCTCTCTGTGCTTTCATTTCCTCAACAATAAAAAGTGATAACAGTATAAGCCCAAGGTACAAGGATAAACAAAATGATAGCTCTAAATTAGTTAGCACAGCGTCTGGTACATGTGTTGAGCATGTGTAATCTAAAAATTAAGATCCAAAATGCTAAAAAATCAGAAATGTTTTTGAATGCCAATATGGAAAATTCTTCACTGATCTCGTGTGAAAGGTCATGGTCAAACACGGCATACAACATATTCAAGGGAAAAAATTACTCTGTAGGCCCCATTAGGCTACAATATACAAACTTTGTTTCATGAACCAAATTATTTTAAAATATTTGATAAAATTATCTTAGGCTATGTGTACAAGGTGTATTGGAAACAAAAGGGAATTTTGTGTTTAGACTTGGGTTTGATCCCCAAGATATCTCATTATGTATATGCAAATATTCCAAAATTAAAAAAAAAAAGCCCAAAATACTTATAGTCCAAGCACTTTGGATAAGTTATAAAGAAACATTATAATTAAATGTTATTTACTATTACCATCTGGGGATCAAAGAGGAACCTGAATTGACAGAAGGAAAGAGGTCTCATAATATGATTTTAATGATTCAAGTTCATAGTCAATGCTAAGGAAATGTTTGGAAATGGAGTCAAGAATTCGAGCCACAGAATAATGTACTGAGAATGTGTAGTGCCCTGGACTGGAGTTACATTTTTATCTGCTCAAGCCTCACTGTTGACTGGAGGACCAAAATTTGGGACCAAAAGGTCAACTGGGGTTTAGGCAGCTTGCGACAGTGTGATGGTGTCAACCAGAAGTGAATTGAAGTATTCAGAACATTTAGCAAATACATTTTTCGTCCTAACCCTGGTGATGAAATTGTCTAGATAATGGGGATACAGTGGTGGCAGGTGCTGTGTTCTCTGAGATGCTGTTCCTAGGACCTGCTCCGCTGTGCTACTGTACAATCCAGTCTCTGAAATGGGGTGTAGGTGGCTCAGTACCTTTTCTCAGTGCTGTTTTCCCTTCTGTAGAAAAATGTAATTAATACTTTTCTAGATACATTCAGTTTCCTCTAAAGTTCATGTTTCTCATGATGATTATAACATACATGTAAACATCATCATCATACATCATACATAAACATCAATATCCACCAGTGTCCTTACCTAAAACCTTTCAATCTTAAAACCTGGTATTTATCATATACCTGCATTTATATAATAAATGTTTAATGTTTCTTGCCACTTAAGATGACATTACTACACATAGCTTTTCATATTGAAAATGCCAATTATGTTAACAATGATTGTTCTATCTTGAGGTTTTATTTAGTTCAAAATTGTTCCATTTTTTCAAACTCCCAAGATCATTCTTTTGCTTATAAAACAAACTCATGGGGTTCTAGGAAACTGTTAAGATTACTGTCTGTTAGGCTATAGAACATAAATTTAGTTTATTCTAAAATTTGTGGACTCACATAAAGCCTTTAGGTATAAAAATAAGTAAAATAGAAGGGAATTAGAAATAAATGAAAATAATAATGCTATTTTGAAGAAAATTTACAATGGCATATCAAACATTAGCATGTATGACAATAAACTTTATAAATACCTCACTTTAGTAATATCATGGAAATATCTAAATGTCTAAGTTAAAAAATGTTGTTGGAAATTGGTATGCAGCTTAGGATATAAATACAAAAAATTTAATGGGTGCTACATAGTCTGGTACAATGTGTAAGATTTAAAGTAACTACATGTTTCAAAGTTGTACTTTTTGAGAAACAGCAATTGAGCACTTTTGAAATATAACACTGACCTGTGGCTATTCTCTGTCTCAGTGTTTATATTTTATTTTATTTTTTTAAAATATATGACAGTGGAATGCATTATAATTCTTATTACACATATAGAGCACAATTTTTCATATCTTTGTGTCTGAGTTTTTCAATAGAATGGGAAGTTGCTATTTTACATATAGGTTAGAAATCAACTCTACTTTTTTACTTTTAAGAAACAGAAGACTTCAAACGTGTTTATATTTCAGAATTTAACAAAATCCATCAGCATTCTTCTTCTTCTTCTTTTTTTTTTGGGGTAGTGCTGAGGATTGAACCCACAACTCAGCATGCTAGTGCTCTACCACTGAGCTATGTCTCAGCCTCTTACAATCATTATCCTTTCCTCCATTCTTTCACAATCCAATCATCTCACTTTACTGGTCAGTTATCTGAGGTCCAGAGAGGTTAAAACAACTTAAAGTCATCCTTGTCTAGTGAGTGGCAGATGTGGAGCTAGAATCAAAGTCTCAAATACCCAGAAAAGACACCAAAAGAAAAAATTATAAAATATGAATAGTTGAAAAAATTATAAAATATGAATAGTTTGAGGATGACATTAAATTTCACAACACATGGAGCTGACAGGAAATACCACTGGAAACACTGAGGGGGATTCTTCACAGATTCTCTACTCATCTTGCTAGGCAGCATTTCTGGCCCATGTGCTATCCTGGTATTTCAGTGAGGCCCAGCGAAAACGGCCCTCAGGTTTATTTAAAAAGACAAAGTTCTCCTTCTGAAATTGCAGTTTGGAGCCCCTGATTTAAAAATGAATGAAGTACCCTTGCCAGTGTTTAAACCACATGACACCACCAGAAAGCATATCTGGAGGGGTAATACTTCCTTGTGTCACTCATTTCTCTTTCTCCAACAATCCCATTTAAAGTTCTTTCTGAAGCACTTTGCTGGAGTGGTTTGAGAAAACATGTTTTGCTTTCCATCGTGATACGAATACTAAGAAAGTCCTTTCCAGAAGGCAAAGAAAAGGTACACCAGCCAAAGGGGCAAGGTTTTTATCCCCGGAGAGCTTGCCCAGGGATAGACAGACATTTTGGTTAGTTTTGTTGACGCTACAAAAGGCACCCTTCCCCCAAGCCAAACTATAACTTTTATCTGGTGTCCAAACTTTCTTCATCATATTTTAAAATGAAAAGGAGACTATTTCGGGAAAAATGTAATTTTTTTTTTTGAAAAAGAAGACGTAGATGTTTGAGAGTTTTAAAGGAAGGGAACACTTTGAGATGTATCTGACAGTCATCAACACGAATTCTCACAGGACTTGCATTTAAACTAGTGCCCTAAAGCGCCCCGGGAATTCCTCCAGATCCGGTCAGTTTGGGGCTCACTGGACTTGCTGGACCCTCGAGGGTGCATATTGGTTCCCTGTTCAACCTTGTAGCAATTTCCTGGGCAGGAAATCAGTCAAGTCTGATGAAACAGAATGCGGGGAAGCCTAGATCGAGATCCAACCCCTGGCGCGAACTGGGTTGAGTGCTGAGTGTACCCAGGGGACCCGCTACCCTCCAGGGTCCAGCAAGGGGCGCGCGTTCCGGAGGCCTGCGCCGGGAGCCGCCCCCGGCCTAGGACACCACCCGCGTGACACCCGGTCGGGTAATGCCCCAGGGGCTCAAGTTGCAGCTCGCTGGGTTCCCGACCCGGTGGGCGCCGCTTACCTCGACGGCTCTGCTGGGACGCGCGGAGAGGCGGCGGCGGGAGCGCCCAACGGGCTGGGCAGCTGGGGGCAGGCGGCGGGGCACGCAGCGAGGTCGCCCTCGGCTCTGAAGTCGGCGGCACCCAGGCTCGAGGTCCGCGCCTCGGGGAGGAAGTGGTGTCAGCCCTCCCCTTCCCACGCAGCGCGCAGACGGGTGGCGCTCGCCACGCTGCTTTGCACCGAGGTGCTGGGAGGCGTCTGGTTAGGAGATGGGGACTTCAAAATAGGCTTAAGGACTCCTGCCGTTCGCTGGCTGCTTTCCCCAAGTCATCTGGCCTGTGCCTTCTTTCCTTTTGTACCCGCCCCCCCCACACACACTACCTTTGAATCAACAAATGAAAAAAATCCAATAACAATAACAAAAGGTGTTTTTGTTTGTTTGTTTTTGTTTTTTAATTCTGGGAAAAAATGCGCCTTGCTCCTTCAGCTTTTTCCCCACGTGCGGGGATCTCAGGAGCGTCCCCTGGCGAACAGACCCATCTTTGATATAGGAGGAACTAAGGAACACAGGGCCAATTAATTAAAGGTTCCACAAAAACATAGAACTCAATTTATTTTGCAAGGGTCTTCCTAACTGTCACTTCAGCCTTTTCTGTGCTTCCTCTTTTGGGACACTTGAGTAAGGCTTCCCCGCTGCGCATTCCGCCCGCAGGGCATGAGGCAAAGGACAGCACAGAGGAGTGACTGGGTGCTGGGGGTGGCCAGGTGACACCGAGGGAGTATGGGCCCCCGTGGGGGCAGGGAAGAAGGGTGTGCTCAGCATTTCTCAACCATCCGCCTGGCAAACCCCATCAGATATACTGACGAAAATAAGTGATGCAAATGCACAAGGTCCTCTGAGGCCCCACGATTTGTAACAGCAAAGGACTGGAAGTGGCCTGTGACTGTTGGGAGTGGTGTCTCCTGAGAGAAAATGGTTGAGAAAGTCTGAAAATACAGAAGTTCAAAAGCAGTTACGATTTGTAAATGTGGTTGAATTCATCTCCTCTTCCTCTCTACCGCTGGGTCTTCAAAGGCTCACAGGCAGAGGACTGTGGCAACGACATTAAGACATAAATTAGGCACATAAATTAATAAGAGGATTTCTGATAGATCAGTTATTTATTCAATGAGAAATTACTTATTAAGCAAAACCTACTCTTCTAAGAACAAGAGAAATGGGGAAGAAAACAATTCCTGCTCTGGTAGATGGTGCCTTCTAGTTGATAAAAAACAGACAATAATAAAAAAAAATTAGTAGCTCACATGTGGAATAATGTGTTTTGAAGGAAATTAAAAGGTGAAGGATAGAAAGTGGTGGGCATGGGAATCTGGCTTCTGGGTTAATGAGGCCCACTGAGGAAGAGCTATCTGATAACCAATTATTGAGCCAGGCCTGAATGACATGACATGAGACGCTAATTCATGTTGGATTTTTGGGAGAGAATATTCCAGGCAGAAGAAACAGTACCTTCGAAGGCCCTGAGTTAGGAGGATACTTGAGATATTGGAAAAACATCAAGGAAACTAGGATGGCTGGAGCCGGCATGAGAGCGCCAGATAGAAGATGAGATCAAAGAGAAAAGGGTGGCCAGATTGTGTGTGGCCTGGCAAGCTTTTATGTGGATGAGACTTGGATGTGAGATGGAGAGCCATTGGAAGGTTGTGAACAGAACCTTAAATGCTATGTAGAAAGGAAAAGCAAGCAGTGGAGTGGGAGTGACTTTCCTCAGGGAGGGAAAGTGGTCAAGGAACATCTCTTGGTGAAATAGAAGGGACAGCCGTTTGGAGACTTGGAAAAGCATTACAGAAGAGCAAGAAAAGGTGCTCAGATAGGGA